ATCGTCTTCCACAGCCGATGCAAAACTGACGATGCATCACGATATATAATTTCTAATATCGCCCAGTCCTAGTTCCTAGAAAAAAACCTTTATTTTATTTATTCTACTGTTCTAGTTCTTTGGAGATATAAAAACTTGTAATATCAGCTAGATCAGGGCTCAAGTTGAAGTTTCAGCACTCTAGCAAATCAGAAAATGTTCAAAATTTCAATTGTAAAATTTACCCTTCACAATAAACATGAAAGTTAAGTAAAAATTGCTAAAAATGTTTCAATACAAATAAAATTTTAATAAGACTGTGTTTAAATTGTTTCAGTTTATCAAGAATCACTATATCCTATTAGAAGCATTGCAAAAGAAACAAAAACATGAGAATAACAAATAGCAAAGCAATACATTTCCTTTAAAAACAAAATACCTACTTTTAACTGTTGATCAGTGTTTGACAGGATACCTTCTTTTAAGAAGAGAGAATAGTTATCATGGAATGCTCTATAGTTATTAATATCCTTTCTCATTTGGTCTTGTAGATATCGAAGAAACCTATTTGTAATCATTGTAGAAATTTTTCTGAAACAGAAGTTAAAATTGAGGATTTAAGATAAAATATGCATTTTAGTAAAATGAGATTTGCCTATTTCAACTGTATAGAAAAAGGAAAAAAATAGAAATACTGTGAAAAGATCACAAAGGTGGCTCCAATTCCTGGAACATTTATTTTTAGGAGTACATGTTCACAATATTTTTCTAATATTCAGTGTATATAATCATAATATATTCCACAATGATTACTTCTGGTACCATTTTATCCCAAAGTTGAGTGAAATAGTTTACCATTTCTAAAATTATCAATATATTTCTTCCCAACTGATTCAAATAGAAATTTTCATCTTTTTAATAGCACTGTTTTGCCTTTCAATATGAAAGGGTGGCAGTCATGGTCGAGTGTTGTTGAGCCACGCAGATAGCAGTTGGAAGGCAAAAAGATTTTATTTAGCTTCACATGGTATATTCAAAACATTTTCTATCAATGGTGGAACTCAAATTAGCACTCCAAAACTGTGTGCGTAGGTTTTTATCCAAGGGAAAGTAGCAAATGAATTTCCCTCTATTTTATTATATTTTAGGGAAATAGGGAAACATAAATAATTACAATTGATTTATTAAATAGGTCATGAGATTCCCACAAAGAGTAAAGGAAAAAAGTCTTACTTTTAATTAATGCATAACTGAGCCAAAATTAGATTTAAGGACAGGGTGTGAATTTAAAAGTGTAAGAAAGCGCTTCAATTAGAATAAAAAAATAAAGAAGCTTTTTATGTTACACACACATATATATATATATATATATAAAGTTTTAATTTCCCTCACAAATACTTAGCATTTGACAACATTTTAAAAGAAGTACTTGAATGATGAAAAACTCAAATGGTGATGATTCTGAAACTTTTAAACAGCAAAAATATTGAAAAATTAATTTCTGAAAAGATAATCTATTAATAAATTTAAAGCAGGCTGGCCACAAACACCTAAAAGAAAGTGTCTGATATATTACCAGAATGATTTTATCGAATTTCCCTGATCTTTTTAAGCAGTGGAATAAATATGTTGGGAACATCAAATAAATTACTTACCTTATCAAAGCACTATCTTGTAAGAGTTCTCGACTTAAATTCAAAGGTATATCTTCACTATCAATGACACCTGTTTAGAAAACAGAGATCGTTAGCACCAAAAGTTCAAAGTAGAAATAATCCATAGGTAAACAAAAAATAGGTGATAAACAGCATATAAATAATTTTGTTTCTTACAAAAAATTTATGATACTAATGAAATAATCATAAGAGAGAATTTCTAAAACCAAGTGAACATTGGAATATTAAAATCATTTACATTGTGAGCCATACAATATTTCACAAGTTTAAAAATCTGTAACAAGCAAAACTTGAAACTAGCAGAGCTCATTCTAGGCAGGGTTAACAGGTCACAGCACCCTGTTGCCCTTTTAGTCAAAAGGATCCACCCTGCTGCCCCCTAAAGTAAGTTAGTGCTCTGATGTAATAGACACCATAGCCTTTATTTCCTCAACCTTTCTTCATTTTTTCCCTAAACTCTACTATGGATTTCTTAAGCTTTTGTTTTTTTTTCCAACTCTTATTAATTAGTTTGTCATTGCTGTCAATAACATAGATATATATGGGAAAGGAAAAATAACCATCACACCCTCTTGTTGCACTTGTCTTTGAAAGTTTGCAGTTACTTCCACTATCTTCCAGAGCAGAAAAGTTCAAGAGGGGCCTCTCAGTTGTCCAGCAGGAATTCATTAGTGGGGAGAGGGGTAAAGATGCTTTTCTCTAATTCTTGGCATACTCTTCTCCCTAAAAGAAGATAAATCTTTTTTTTTTTTTTTTGTCAAGCAATGTTCTATTGTAAAGGTGGGAGAGTGGTCAGCAGGTGTGGAAGGTCATCCTTTTGGTAAACCAGAACTGTCTTTTGGGAAACTCACAGTTTTAGCAAGCAATCAAAATTCTTATGACTGTACTTAAACTACCATAAATTCAGGAACACCACTTACAACTCTACTCCACACAACAAAATATCACTATAAAATATGTTCATTTGAGCAGATTTTAGGTTCATTGTTAACTAAAAAATGGTGGAAATTAAATAGAGCACTTTTTTTAATTCATTTAATGAAATTATTGAAGGAGAACTTTTGATTTTATTTTAACAATATGCTTACTATAATCAAAAGCATAAATGGTAGTAAGATGCTTTATTGAATTTTGTATGTTATTTTTCAGTTAATCTTAAATTTTTTTAAAAAACTTGTATGGTATTGAAAACAGTCTTTTTATGAAAATATTTTTAATAATTAAAATTGTTATTTCTGTTACTGGCATAAATAGTTTTTAAGTTAGAATAAGCAAAAATATATAAAATTTTTGATTTTTTTTTTTTTTTTAAATTTTGAACTTAACTACAAAATATTGCTATAAAATATGTTCATTTAAGCAGATTTTAGGCTCAGGCTTATCTAAAAAATGGTGGAAATAAAAATAGACCATCATTAAATCCATATTTTGATAGTTTCTTAAATTTGTTTAATATAATATTGAAGGAGAACTGAGTAAGATGCTCTATTAAATTTTGTATGTTATTTTTAATTAATCTTTATAAAAAATTTTTTATTTGTATGGTATTAAAAACATAAGTTTTAAATTATTTTTAATGTATAATATTTTCAATGTACATATTACGTTACTTTAAAAANTAACTGAAAAGTTAATTATTTATTAAATCATAATTATTATTAATCATTTTAATTATTAAATCATAACTACAGACACTTAAAAACATACATTTATTATTTTATTAATATATGCATGCATTTTGAATAAATTACTAAGCTAATTAGCTCATTAACTTGATTTATATGATAATTTATTAATAAAAATTAGTAATTAATATGATTGCTTTGCTACTTTTTGTAAAGTTAAAAGTATTTTTCACCCCTCTTACAAATTGACAATATTTTTCAATAGAACGTGTAAAGCCCATAGAAAGAAATTATTGCCTTTTTAGAATAATAATGCCCTTTTTTTAAACTTTTGCGCCCTGCACTTTTTTCTGCCTAGAATGAGCTCTGGAAACTAGAATTAAGAACAGAACATAATTCTAAAATAAAATTAAAAACAGGACAGATACATAGTAGGAAAAAAATATGAAAAGAGAAATACAATGAAATCTATTTCAGAAGTTCTCGTTCAAATTATTCATATTCTTGTTAATTTGTTTCCTATAAAGAAATATTGTAGAATTTAAAAAAATATTATCTGTATTATTTTCGTGGTTAAAAATTCTTTCTCAGACTTTCAAAACATGAAGAAACATAAAAATAAAAAAGAGCGCAAGTTTTTATAAATGAAATTAGTTAAGACAACAAAACAAAAAAACTGGATTTTTAGAAAGAGCTCTAAGTTGGAGAGGGTAACAATAACATCCTTTTTGTGCATTGTGAATTTAGCAAATTAATTGCTAATACATTGCCAGTAACTACAATAGGTTTTGCAATTAAAAATAGAATATCTTAAAAAAGAGAGAGAGAAAGCTTTGCTTGATGGTGAGCATTTAAGATGACACTTGCAGATTATCTTGTGAAAAAAAATTTTAGACCACAAATAAAGTTGTCAAATTGTTACAAAACTTACAAAATACTATTAAAGGATAAAAACAAAGAAATGTGCATAAGAATATCAAAAAAATTTTACTAATAATTTTTAAACCTTTCAGAAAATTTAAATACCACAATTTAATGAATCTTTTAGAGAATTTAATTAACACATAAATAGTGAAAAACAATGCTTTTTTGGGGTGGGAAGGTAAATATCTGAGCAATAATTCTGTGTTTATTATGTATAATTATCTATTAGTTATAATATAATCTGTGTTTAAAAATGGCAATAGTCTCTGCTTTAAATTTCGGTTCTCAAAAATTAATAGAGGAGTGAAACTACTCAATTTATTTATTTAAACATGATCTATGCTGTTGTTGTTGTTAATTTACGTCGCACTAGAGCTGCACAATGGGCTATTGGCGACTGTCTGGGAAACATCCCGGAGGATGATCCAAAGACATGCCATCACAATTTTGATCCTCTGCAGAGAGGATGGCTTCCCCGCTTCGGTAGCCCGACGACCTGCGCNAAAAACAATGCTTTTTTGGGGTGGGAAGGTAAATATCTGAGCAATAATTCTGTGTTTATTATGTATAATTATCTATTAGTTAGAATATAATCTGTGTTTAAAAATGGCAATAGTCTCTGCTTTAAATTTCGGTTCTAAAAAATTAATAGAGGAGTGAAACAACTCAATTTATTTATTTAAACATGAGACCTTCAGGATATCTTTGTAGTATCTTTGAACAAGAGAACAATAACAATTTATTATTATTAAATTATTAAAATAAAGCATTGAATATATTCACATTTAAACGTTTTTGAAAATTTATACTTTTACTGATAAGCCAAAGGGTAAGACAAAAGTCCTTCTTGCCAAATCTACAGCGGCAGGATACAACTGAATATCAGCAAATCAGAACACAGCAAAAGACCCTTGATTGGTGTTTCATCAAAAATAAACTTTATCAAATGTCAAGCCAACCCAAAGATCATTTGAGGAATATGAAAACCCCAAATAAGTCCTCGAATCGAATGTGGCTCATGGGATTGAGTTTTCTCCTTCCAATGAGGTGCACTGGACTTAAATCCCAGCAATATTTGGTCGATACAAATTCCGCACTCGGCTCGTACCGAGCACAATACTGGCGTAAAATATGTTCAGTCATAGATGAATCATGGGGTAGAGTTACCTTGTTGTTAAGTTAACCCTAAGAGTTTTCGGCAGTTTTCTTCTTTATATAGTGCAAATATGGGTAAGTTCCATTAAAAAGTCCTTCATGAAGGCAAATTTCTCCCAGTACTTGATCCAGGAGTTACCTCATCTTCTGGATTAGGTGCAAAATTTCAAGGCTACTTAGTTGAACATTAGTAGCCATAAACTCAAGATTGAGAACCAAGTACAAAATAAAATAAGTCACCAAATTATAGTAAACATCTCATAGTATGCATTTCTATACTTAAATACAAGCAGTTGAAGAGAAGACTTTAAAAAATAAATTTTGGTCACATTAATTAATTTAATTTTTCAAATTATTTAGAAAGGGGTGGAAGAATTAAATATTCATTTAAGAATTAAATAAAAATTAAGAAAAGAGGAAACATGTAAAACCTATAACAGCGTGATAAATCATATAACCCTATTACAATTTTTAAAAAAATATTTTAGCTAGGCTTATAAGGATAGGAGAAGAATAAAAAGTCTGAAAATACCCGTCAACTTAAATCTAGAGAAAAAAAAAAACATGTGAAACTATTTAAATAATTTATAAACTTAAAGTTTTTTACTTTATTTTATTACTATATGGGTACATTGAGAGTCCAACATACTGTTAATCTTTATACATCATTCTTGATTAAAGAGAATAAAAAATAATAAAGTAAAAAACATAACAATGTAGGAATATTAAGAATTCTTCTGAACTTTAGAAAGTCAGAAATTCTGCCAGACATTGTAAAAATTTAATGCCTGTTTTGTCTACTCACTTCAAAAGTTTTAAACAAATTTTTACATTTTTTTCATAGAAATTCTTTTTTTAAATAAATGTTACTTTACGTACCTCTCATGAAACGAAGCCATTTGGGGAGTATATCAGCCTTGTTTTTAATCAGCACCCTCGAGCTATACAGAGAGACACCAATCTCCATATCTCGACTGATTTCGAAGAGTCCCGGCTTCCCTTCTGGCACGTACAGCAGGCACCTCAAATTGAGGGGTGAGTCTGTCTGGTAGTGCAAACAATAGCGGGGAGTGTCAACTGTCTTAGTGATGTATCGAAAGAACTCCGTGTGAATCTCTGGAGGTACCTCTTTGGGTTCCATCAGCCAGACAGCCTGAAATAAATATTATTTTGATTAATACATTTTCAAATTCATAAAATCCTTACAAATCTTTCATAATATGAACTAATTTAAGTAAAAATAAAGTATTGTTTTGATTTAATTTTTTTTTATTGCTAAAATCAACAGTTCAACTTCTCAAGAATTTAAATCTTATAATATTAATATTCTAAAACTTCAATAAATATGAAGCTGTTGGGGGGGGGGGAACACAGCAATAACAACTTGGGCAGCTGAATCAAAAATTTCTGAATTAGTGCAACAAATTGAACAAAAACTATTTGTTGGATTGGTTATGATTTTTTTTTTTTTTTGATGTAGGAAATCAAAAACTATACATCAATCAAACATTTTTTTTAAATATATTAATATTCTCCTAAGTCAAAATACAGAAATTTTCAAATTTTATTCAAAATAGTGAAACTGCATTAAAACATTTACTTGATATAAATTTTAAGTTCATTGATAATATTACTTTAGAAAGAAAAAGCAAATTTTTTGTTTCGATTTCTTGTTTATCTCACCCAGTGTTTTCATTAATGCGCGAGAATCTCGAATATTTTTTTCTTTTCTCGCATTAAAAAATTACAACCGCGAGAAATTCGCGCATTCTATAAATCAATTTCAAAATTCACGAATTTCTCCAATTTNGCTGTTGGGGGGGGGGGAACACAGCAATAACAACTTGGGCAGCTGAATCAAAAATTTATGAATTAGTGCAACAAATTGAACAAAAACAATTTGTTGGATTGGTTATGATTTTTTTTTTTTTGATGTAGGGAATCAAAAACTATACATCAATCAAAAATTTTTTTTTAATATATTAATATTCTCCAAAGTCAAAATACGGAAATTTTCAAATTTTATTCAAAATAGTGAAACTGCATTAGAACATTTACTTGATATAAATTTTAAGTTCATTGATAATATTACTTTAGAAAGAAAAAGCAAATTTTTTGTTTCGATTTCTTGTTTATCTCACCCACCAAATACCAATTGCACATCAACTGTAGTTTACATGAGGTTAGAGTTAATTTATCAATGCATAACTGCCAACATGGATCGGAAAAAATCCAGTAGATTTTGTGCAATTAAAATAAATTTCATGATAATTGTTGCATAGTGTACTAAATGTTTTACACATAGGGAATTTTAGGGATTTCTATAGTAATCAAAATAGGAAAAGTGCAATATTTTCCAGTTATGATACATACTCAAAGTGTTATGTATTATATTTACTCATAATTTCAAATATTAATAGGCATTTAATTCATCAAAGATGGTTAAAAGATCTTTTTAATTAATTTGAAAAGAGAGTTCTGAATAAAAATAAACTGAACATTTTAGAACAAAAAAAATTTTGAACCGAATTCTATAAATGAGGTTCCTTGCATTATGCATTAGTAATACTTATTTAAATAGCAAGCAAGCAATAATCTGCATAAAAATTCTATTCCAATAGTGATTTTTTTTAGGAAACTTACTCAATTTTAGAGAATTTTTTAGAATGTACAAAAACCAAGAGAATTTATTAAACCAGTAGACCAGGAGAAACTGGCAAAATTCAGTAGTCTACTGGAAAATTCAGTAGAGTTGGCAGCTATGTAGGTCTGATTTCTTTTTTAATGTAGATAATAAAAAACTATCATCTTATAAAAACCATATAAAAATCAACTATATAAAAATATATTATTGTTTTCCAAAGTCAAAAAATACTAATCTCTGGAAATTTTCAAATTGTATTAAAAACAATTAAACTATATTGAAAAATTCACTTGATATAAGTTTTAAGTTCATTGATAATATTATTTTAGAAAGAAAAAAGAAAATTTTTTTGTTTTTGATTTTTTGTTTATCGCATCCACCAAATACAAATTGCACATCAACTGTAGTTTACATGAGGCTAGAATTAATTTATTAATGATTTTTTTGCAATCAAATTAAAATCATAATTAGAAAATTAAAATCATAACCAATGTGCAAGTGTAATATTTATTTGAATAATTTCATAAAAAAAATTTAAACATCCATTCTTTATCTTATTACACACATCCCACCCCCAAAAATAGACAAATTTTAATAGTATAAGAAGCATATCAGAAGCATCAAGTAAGAGGAATGAGATTTTGAGTCAAAACACTGCTGATGATACTTGTCCTCAGAAAATTAAATGTATAAAGAAACAAAAAAAATTTAAAAACCTCTTTTTAACTCAGCATATAAAAACTGTGAAACATATTTATGCAATAATAAAGGTCGATTTTACTATTGTTTATATGAACCACAGGCATCGTAGTGGACTAAAGAAAAACTCTGAACAATTTTTGGAACAATATACATACATGTCAGAATACTTTTAAAAGAAGCTAATGAAAGATTAAAAAAGGCATTATTTGCTATACTTAAGAGTATAATAAAAGCAAATTTTATTGCAAAAGAAAACTAAAGCATACTATTTTTAGTTTCAGATCCACTTTGTTCAGAACAAAAAATTTTACGTTTCCACAACATTTTATAAATGCAACAATAAATTCCTAATAGTTTGAGATCAATATATAGAAAAATTACAATAGAACTTTTACAAGAAAAAAAGAATATCCAGTATTAATTAGATAATATTCCCTCAAACATAAATTTAATTAAAATTTGTAATTGAGAGCAAGAATTCCTTAATCAAATAATTTTAAAGTTGAGTTTCGATAATCTCAAAACAAAAAGACAAAGAATAAGTAGATCAATACTATAATAAATCAACTTACTTAAAATGTGAATTCTCAAAAAATTTAATATCTATAGTTTTGCATAGGCTAATTAAATATCTGTCCCCTATACTGTGTTCAGATGAGGCAATATTTCGTTTATGCATTATTCTGGCCTAAGGATTTTGTCCTATAATACTCCAGTTGAGACTACCCATTCAGGATGCATAGCCAAATCTTTCAGCAAAAAAGAAGCACCTTTAAAGTATGTTCTAAGCACTCAAAAAATATTTTCAAGCACTATGTACATTAACAAAATTCAAAATAATTTTGAACAACTTTATATGATCACAATAAAATAACTAGTTTCTGACAAATAACTCCTTTCTTGATTATATAAGCCAACATATCGAAAGATTTTTTAAATCAATTTCGGAGGATGGAAAATAAAGACTGAAATTGAGAATATCTAGCTAAATGCAGTTGAGTTGCACATGACAGAGCTAGAATCGCTCCGAACCTAATAGACGCACATGCAGACTCGCAAGTATTTCATCATGTAAAATGGTTGGCGCTTTCATACGCTATGGAATGACGGTACACCGAAATGGATTATGGTTGAATGAATTGTGAAAACGTTGAATAGAACAATATTAAAACCACGCTTTTGCATAATACGTGGCAAAAAGCGACAATTTCATTAGTGAAAAGAGAATATTAAGCACTTTTTAAAAAATCCTAAAGAAAAAAAGCACCTTTAAGGGCTTTTAAAAAACAAAAACAGAAAATAAGCACCTTTAAGCACTTCTTAAAAACGCTACACATCATGCCATTATTATTCCGAAATGATGTGTGAGGGAGAGTATCACTATTACAATTATGCCCATTTGGGAACGGAGAGTTTTATTTAATAAAAAATTATTTCTTACCTGAATATTATTAACTCTTTTTCCATTAACGTAAATTGGATAGGCAACAAAGTTGCTGTACTTGTTAATGACACCTGAAAAGAAAGATTTATTTATTTATTTAGTAAACTGTAGTAAATAATTCATACCAACAATTTTTTTAAAAAAATTTGAGCTGCCAATTTTAAAAACATTTTATACAGCTTAGTGTAGTCAGAAGCATATTTAATTTAAAAAGAAAGATATGAAGAAATTATTCTCCTTTTTTTCTAGACCTTCTTTCACAATCTCTTACAATAGAACACTTTTGAAAGCTTAGTAATTTTATATATTTCCCTACTTAATATTTACTGAAATAGTTCAATTTCTTTTTGTCATAGGAATAAAATATGCAATTACATAAAGAAAATGTCATTTAATAGAAAAAGCTAGTGTTATGTTCTGAGACTGAACTCATACCTGCCACCTTTTATTATTCAGAAGACTCACAATAAAATAACAGGGAAATTACTTAAAATGCAGATTCAATTTTAATAAATTAATAAAAGTATAAACAATACAATTAAGTCTGCGATCCATGTACAGAACAATAAAAAAATTTGAGAAGTAATAATCAAAACTGATAAATAAATTAAGAAAATAAAAATAGAGAAAATCTGTTAAAAAATCAGCAAATAATCTAATCAACAAACTAAACACAAAGTGATTGGCATCAAAAGATGAAAAAAAAAAGTTCTCATTCCACAGAAGGGGTTAGAAGTCAAAGAGAACCCAAAAGTTTCTGGGCCAGAATACTCCTTGTCGACTGTGGGAGGTGAGTAGCACGATTGTAAATGAAAACAAAAGAAATCAATACACATGTTCCAGTAGTTACTTTTATGGAAGTGATTAAGCAATTTAAACTAGAAAGGCAAATCTTTCAATTTTCCACAAAACCTTTCAGAGTCTGTAAAAGAGGACAATCTTGACATTAAATGGGGACCTTTATAGATCCCCTAAAAAGTCCTGGAGATGCCCAGGGGGTGCACAGATCACAGCAAAGAACCACTGATTTAATATAAACATTGTAAACCCAAGATCTTCTCATAAGATGCTTTTTCATTTCTAAAGAAATTCCAAGGAATGTGTATACATCATATTTATGGACAAACTATAATCTCAATGAATTAAAATAACACCAGTTCAAATGATTGGTTTAATGATTCAGCTCAATGACTTTGAGATGTTGTCATCAGATAATCAGTGAGAGATTTTCAAACAAAAATAAATTACCACATTGACTGCAGTGTAAGTTTCTGAATATACAATATAAGATACAATTTATCTTATGTTGTATATTCTACTGCAATAAATTTTGTATTTTACCTGTTAAATAGATGATTTACATAATTCCCAACAAAATTCTTATGCAATAGAAATGAATATATTAAAAAAATATGGAATGATTTTACAGCTGGAAAACTATACCTTTAATCTCATCTTCATCAGCAAATTTTCTTTCATTACCACTTTTAATATATGCAACAACTTTTGTACCAGGCTGCACATTTTCAGCTTCCATTATTTCATATGAGCCAGATCTAAAATAAAAGTGATAAGTCATTAACAAAACGCTCATAATGAAAAAACCCTAAAATTAACATTAATACTGTTTTATTACAATTAACATCAAAATACCACATTTTAAACATTGGCTTAGTACATAGTAGCTTTAAGTAATTACAGAATTGATACAAAATTTATGACATTTCGTAACATAAAAAATTATGGATAATTTTTAAAACATTTTATAATTTTCAAAATATTTTATAACTTAATAATTTTTTTGCTTTCCAGGTTTTACTCTCTGAAAAAATTTCTAAGGATGCCTTTTGGTTTTATTTCAGGTTTTTTTAAGCAAAATTCCAGATACTGAAAAAATAAAGTTACATAGGTACTTCTTCTAAAATGTGAAAAAAGAAGTGGGAAAAAAATTATTACAATTAACTCATTTAGCTACACTTAAATTATTTTTTTCATTATTGCAACAAAATTACAATTTAAATGTATATAGGAAATGGATAGGAATGATATAGGATATAATATGGATAGGAAAAAATCCAATAGATTTTACAAAATAATATGAATTTCATGACAGTTGTTGCATAATATACTAAATATTTTACACAAAGAGAATTTTAGGGATTTTTATAGTCATCAAAATAGAAAAACTACAATATTTTCTAGTTATGATTGACATTAAACATATTTGAAATGACGTTAAACATATTATGTCTTATGTTTACTCGTAATTTCGAATATTAATAGGCATTTAATTAATCAAAGATAGTTAAAAGACTGAGAGAGTTCTGAATAAAAATAAACTGAACATTTAAGAACGAAAAAAGTTTTTAACTGATTTCTATAAATGAGGTTCCCTTCATTATGTATCAGTAATATTTATTTAAATATTCAAGCAAGCAGGCAATAATTCGTACAAAAATTCAATTTCAATAGTGATTTTTTTAGAAAACTTACTCAATTTTAGAGAGTTTTCTGAAATGTACAAAAACCAGGAGAATTTTAATTAAACTAGTAGAGTTGGCAGCTATGATAATGTATAATTTCGAAATTACAAACAACTAAAGTAGAATGAAAGATTACTAGAGTAATGACTTATATAAAGTTTTTTTTAAAAATTAACAAGTTCAAATGAAATTTTGATAAAACTGATTAATTTCTAAAGCAAATTTAGAAAGAGTAAACTAATTAAAGTAAATTAATACTTGAAAATTATTTAACTATAAATTTTACCAAAAAACTCTGTGTATAAAAAAGGAAAAAATATCAATAAAAGTTTAGCATTTAAAAATTATTTCTTATTCAAATTTGAAATATCCATTCATAAAAATCAGCTTGACACAAAGTATAACATGGAGTAAGAAGGAGGGAAATGGATGGTAGCAGAATTCAGTAAGATAATTTTAATTAGTATTTATGTACTAAGTAAATAGTGTGTGAAGGACATTATAAAACTGTTATTCTATATTTCAGTGGTTAACAACAATGCAGAATATTAAGTAAAATTATATGGCCGAATTATTTTACTACTATAAAAATTTTCCCTTTGTTTATTCCAAAAATAAAAGCCATTGCATGACAATAAGAGAATCTAATATTATATAGTATCACAACAGATGCAAAAAAATATTACAGTAAATGCTAGATATTATTTTGTATAGAATTTAATGTTATATAATGCAGAAAAAACAATGACCTTTTTATCTTCCTAATATTTTAAAGTTGTGCAAATACTGTCAGATTTTCTGATGTTATATAATTTTATGAGCTACTTGGGAAATATTATCAAATTATATAGATACCTTTTCAATGCAAGAAACTGGTTAACAAAAGACTACAAATAGTATTATTTTAAATAATTTCTTCATTTATGCACGAGTGGTAGTTCCTTTTTTAGATAATATTTTCAAAGAGAAAATGTGAAACAAATCATGTTTCAAAGGCAAAAGGAACGATAAGAACATTAATGAGTTAATTTATAAGAAAGTAAAAAATATTTATTTTCTGAATTCTAGATTTCAAACATTTTCCACCTATACCCGTTAAATCTTTTATCCTTTTACACAGTTTCTGTCAATCGCATTTGACCCAACAAAAATTCAAAACTTGTAGTAAAAACATAAAATATATTAAATATAATATTTTAAAATGGCTGAAAACCAATTGCTCACAATCATCCTCTCTTTCTTCAATGTTTTATTTTACAATCAGTGAAAAAAATAGACAAGACTATTTTTTTTCTCCATAAGTTTTCTCGAAGAAGACTTACGGTAAGTCAAAAATTATGGTACGTCAAATTTATACTTCGTGTCTCGATTACAAACTATCATTATTATTTTCTATCTTAATAACAGATTTAATCACTGATTTTTAAATTTCTGAATCACACCTTAAAAAAAGTTTATGACTTACTGATATTAGTTGCTTCGTAAGACACTAGCAACCCTTCTTGTTACAAATTTAATAGTTAGCCTCAAGGCAAAATTGAATCAAATATAATAAAATTAAATAAATTTGCACTGAAATAAATGTAAATCAAGATTAAGTGAAGTTGTTAGTTAATCAAAAAAATAATAATAATAATACACTGAACTCTGGCAACTACGTTATTCGATTCAACAATAACTCCCTCCATTACAATAATGTTTGGTAATCCCGACGAACTTCCATATGAATTAATGTTATCCACCCCTCAATATTGCAAGATTCTCTGAAGCAATAAACCCCTGTAAAATAAATTTTTTTTCCTCTAATTTCAGCCTTATTTTCTTCATTTATTATTGGTTTTCAAATAATGTAAAAAATCTTATTTTATCATCTTTTGCCATTTTTTCTTCATCTTTTCTGACAAGAAAAGTCTCACTGCTGATTCTTTTCTTATTTCTTTTCACCACAGTGAATGGCTTTTGTAGTCAGATTTCAATACCCCATCCTTGATGTACGTAGACCACCCCAAGACCTTCCTTTCTTAGAATTGCCTCCTTTATCTCGTAAGAAATCAGAGGTGAAACATTCCTATCTGATTTCATATTTAACCATAATTACCACTCTGCAAATTAAATTTTTATATATTATATAAATAGATTTATAGTTAATACATATATAACATTAAAATTAAAAAAAATCTTCTTGTGTCTCCAAAGTATGTAGGCCCTTATCCCTCTACAACAATATATTTATTTGCTCCCCAAAATATTGTTGTAGTGAGGTTTTACTGTAATAATAATTTTAAAAAATACTATAGTTTTTCTTCTTAAAATTATAAATGGGCCTTTGGGCCAACAGAAACAAAACACTAAAATAAAATCTTGGTTTGATTCAAATCTCCAAATTAGCATTCTCATTATTAAATTTGTAATAATAAATTACTTCTTATAATTTTGCATGTATGGGGAAAATGAACTCACCCATCGGACACCCATTTATAAGCTTTACTACCAGGTTCATGACGTTTTGAGTAAACTTCAACTTTATCAGCTATCATAAAAGTTGAATAAAATCCAACTCCAAACTGTCCAATAATCTTGTTTACTGCACAACTTGTTGAATCTGTTCTTTTCACTTCTTCTAAAAATGCCTAAAAGAGAAGAAATGCCTATTAGATGCTTGGAAATTATGATGTGTATGTAATTTCAAATACTTATAATTATAAATTAAAGAGTCTGTATGTGTGTCAATGAGAGTAAGTCTTCTATAATTGAAGAATTGTTTGAGCTAGAGCCTCAAACAATGGGCACAAGATTAAATATAGTCCAAAATTTCAATTGGTCCAGTTGGGAGAATTGTTAGAAAAAATAAATTTTTCCTATGAGTTTAACAGTAGGAATAGTTACATATAAAACTGTGGACAATTTATGTGTCAATTATTATTTTAAAGTATGTTAAATGTGTTTACCTGTTAATTGCATTATTTTAACTATTTAAGAAATAATATCCATTACATCTAGTAGCTTATGGATCTTTTTAGTTAGAGGCCTGAACAGACCCTTGAATAAGCACCTTTAAGCACTTTTCAAAAAAGCTACGTGCTCTGATATACTGAAAAAATTAATAAAATTAAAATAATATAAATTGCATTTATAATTTGCTGCTATTCTTGATGATTTTAGGTTAATAAATAAAAGAAAAGCAAGATTCTTGAAGCAAGATAAAGAAAAGCAAAAGTTCATTTCATTGAAATAAAGCTTAACTGTATAATATAATATCATTTAGCATGATGCTATTACTAGTTTGATAACATAGCTCTCACATGCCCTCCATGTTGATCATTGAGCTTAAAATAAATAAGAAAAATATTAAATAATAAACAATGTGCAATGAACTCCATTTTTAATTAAATAGAGCTGTGAGATACTAAACATCATAGATGTTATCTTTCAAATAATTGGCGGAAAAAACTTCGACAGCAAAATTTATAATAGCGTCTGATGCTAAACCTATGCCAAAAATTCATTTTACAAATGTGTTCTTTAGGAAAAACTAATAAGCGATAAAAGACGTTAGAACCAGCTGTCCAAGTTGGAGGATTCAAGCACAAACAGTTCTGGAGTAATAAAAGAGACAAAAAAAACTACTCCTCTTTTAACATAAGAGCACATATTCAACCAGTTATAATCCATTTTAGATTTCAATGTTGCATTAGTATAAAGGGTGTTATGAGAAATATTTTTGAGTGGATCAATCACAAGTTACACAATATTGTAACATAAGTTATATAACAACTTGAAACAGAACATTGATGTTAAAATACATTTTTTCATTTCCATCAAATTAACTAGATACATTCATTTATCAGGGTGCATAGCCAAATCTCACAACAAAAAATAAGCGCCTTTTAAGTAC